CATTTTATTCTGGGAATCTTCAGAATGTCCACGGGACACGTACAGTATGATAGCAGGACAGCATGCGTGGATTTCAAAACTGCTGCTCCCAAGTGAGCTCTCCTAATCCCATTTCCCGAGAACTTCCCTCTTGCACTCGGCTGGCTGCTGGACACAGCTCGGAAGCCGCTGCCAGAGCTTAGATCGTGGGTCTTTCCTGCGCTGGGCTTCCCTGCTGTGTATCTTTCCTCTCACCCCCTCTTAAGGACCCCCTTCCGGTGTTGGGGTTCGTGTCTTTCTGTTGAGGCCAACTTCACGTGACGTGAAATTAACCACTGTGAAGTGGCGATCTGGTGGCACCTGGGGCATCCACCGTGCCAGGCCGCCACCGCTGCTACCCCCTTTAAGTTTCGTGGAGAAGACCTGGACGTCAGCAAGCCGCCCACCAAGGGCTGCACCTCCGGAGCAGAAAGAGGGCTCCGTCCGGCTCCCTCCCCCGACCGCCCCGTGCTTCTCTGCCCTGAAGCCCACTCCCCCAAAGTGCTCACGGTGCAGGTTTAAAGTCCTGTGAAATCCGCAGCTGCTTTCAGGAAGTGTTGATTATTAGCACGTGATTTTGGATCTTGGAAACCTGCATTCAAGTTCTCCACGGAGGAAAACTGAACTGTACCCCGCTGAGGATGGAGCCGTGCCCCCCACCCCGGGACTCTTCTGTGGAATGAGCCCCAGGATGTGACTGGTCCCAGGCAGGGTCTTAGAGGTCAGTGAGGTCAGCATCCCTGCCCGCAGCCCCCAGCCCTAACCTGTGTTCTGCCACCACAGTTTGTTCAAAATAAATGAATCCTCAGAGCCGGCGCTGTGGCATAGTGGGTAAAGCCACCGCCTGCAGTGCTGGCATCCCGTATGGGCGCCAGTTCTAGTCCCGGGTGCTCCACTTCTGATCCAGCTCTCTGTTATGGCCTGGGAAAGCAGTAGAGTCCTCGGGCCCCAGCACCCACATGGGAGACCCAGAAGAAGCTCCTGGCTCCTGGCTTCGGATCGGCACAGCTCAGGCCACTGCAGCCATTTGGGGAGTGAACCAGCCGTTGGAAGACCTCTCTCTCTGTCTCTCTCTCTCTCTCTGCCTCTGCCTGTCTGTAACTCTGCCTTTCAAATATATAAATAAATCTTTAAAAAATTTTTGCAAGTTTAAAAAAATAAATGAATAAATCCAGCCAGGGAGGATTAGTGGGTATTTTTGCACACACAGCAGCTTAAGCATCTCATAAAACTGATCCCACGTAGTCCCCGACCCCAGCGCTGCGGGGAGCACACGAGGCCCTGGGCGGCGCCTTCCCAGTCCTGCACAGCCAGCTCCCGAGGCCCCAGGAGGCCTCTGTGACAGCTCGGTGGAGCCCAATCTGCTCCCTCCCAGAACCGTGGAGGAACCGCCCGCTGATTAAGTGATGGATGAGGTCCCTGCCACTCTCCTGCCCGGGGGGCGTCACCCCAGCCTCATCTGCATGTCCCACGCCCCAGCATCTCTCCAGAGCTGCACACGCGGCCACGCGATCACCGGTGATCCAGTCACTCTGAGGACCGCCTAGCCCACCCACTCCGGTCAGCACCGTTAGCACAGGGCTGTCTGGCCCACAGCAGCCCTCGCCCCCCGAGCCTTAGAAAGCTAAAGATGCGCTTTGCACACAGGAACGGATCCCTGCTGACGCCGACAGGCCTCTCCCTGCTCCGGGGGCCCCGTGTGTCCCCAGCAGCCCGTTCACCACTGAGCAGGGGTCCTGTGTGCCCCCCGGCGCTCCGATGCTCCGTGCCCTCCCGGGATCCCTGCTCAGAACTTGCCCTCCTGTCAATCAGAATTTCTCGCAGCTCTCGCCAAGGCCAAGGCAGCCCTGCACCTTGGCGGGGGTCCTTGAACCCCACACGGCTGGGCCCTGCAGAGCAAGATGGGCAGCCGCAGGTGGGGCTCCATCCCTCTCCAGTGCAGGCCTGGGCTGCTGTCCAGCCCTGTGTGCGGAGTGCAGAGGCCATGGGAGGCGGGGAAGGGCCAGTGGGGGAAGGGAGGAGACCGACTTCTTCCTGGTCTCCCGCCCACCACCCAGCTGCAGCCACAGCTCCAAACCCACTGAAACCTCCCTGGGTGAGGCTCCGCCCTCCAGGGACTGGGGGCAGGGGGACTGGCGGGCAGGGATTCATCCCCAACCTTCCCGGAAGAGTCTCTCATCACCCCCAGCAAGGGGGAGGAGCCACAGCACAGACCACCCCCATCCCAAGCCCCTCCTGGCAGGAGCCTTCTGCTCTCCCATCCCCCTCCAGGACCAGCGGCCCAGGCAGGCACAGCTGCCCCGGGGCTCCAGACACCGGCAGGAACACAAGGTACAGAGGAGCTGGTGGCTTCGGCACCCCGTTTTGTGCTACAAACAGCTTCTGTTCTCCCTGGCGTTCCTGAGGCTGATCCGGGTACCCTTGGAACAGGAGACCCAGGAGAGGGACCCGCCCCTCTGCAAGCTGAGGGCCTCCAGGACACTCGGCCAGCGTGCCAAGTGCCCAGCAGGCAGCGGGCTGCCAAGTCCTGACCGCAGCCAAACGCTCCCCAGGCAGCCCCAGCTTCCCATGGCAATGCCCAGGCCTCGATGGACGTGCGAGGAAAGCACACACTTGCCCCAGGGTAGGGAGAGAAAGGAAGGGAAGCTGGCCACAGACGCAAACCCCAAGGGTCTTACCATAGTGAACGTGGATCTCAACCCAGAGAGGCTGGTGCCTTGCTGTAGGATCATCTCAAAAGCCACGGCAAGAACAAACCTTCCCCCTCCACCCCCTCCCCTGCCAGAACCCGCCGATCGCGGCCTGAGCGGGGCGGCCAAGCTGGGTCCCTGCGGACCAGGCCCTGGGTCTCTTCCAGGGGTGCTCTCCTGGGCCAGGCTGGCATCAAGGCAGTGCTGGTTCCTCTGGGCCTACAGTCCAGCGTCTGTTTTCCCTGCAAGGCGACCCAGAGCAGGAGAAACACGGGCCTGGTGGAAGCCATGTGGACCCAGAGAAATCCAAGTTTGGGCAAATTTGGGGACCTGCTGACGGGGACACAGGATGCACGAAGCAACGCTCCCGGCCACTCCAGCCCCCCGGCCCACGAAAAGGCTGCGAGAGGGCGCCCAGAACGCCGGAGCTTCCACCAGGCTGGCGAGCGCTGTGCCCTTCACTGACTCGCTCTGTATCTGCAGAGGCCCCGGGAAGACAGACGTGGCTCAGAAGAGACTTCAGGTCCCCCAAATGCCAGTGTATTTTCTAAAGATCTATTTATTTCTTTATTAGACAAAGTTACAAAAGCGGTGGGTGGGGGGGGGGAGATCTTGCGTCCACTGGTTCACTCCCCAGACGGCCACCACGGCCCCGGCTGGGCAGGCTGAAGCCGGGAGCCAGGAGCTTCATTTGAGCTCATCTGGGTCTCTCGTGTGCATGATCGAGCCCTCTCCGGCTGCTTTTCCGAGGCCATTAGCAGGGAGCTGGATGGGAAGTGGAGCAGCCAAGACACAAAACAGCTCCCAGGCGGGGTGCTGGCACCACGGTGGTGGCCTTACCTGCCACACCCAACGCCAGCCCCTCCTCAGTGCATTTCCTAGCCTGACGTCAGCCAGGAGGGAGGTGCCTGCTCCTTGCTAACGACCCTGTACTGCTTCATGGGGATGCTGTCACCCTCCTCCTCACTCCCTTCCTTCCGCCCTCTGACACTGAAACCACACACACACACACACACACACACACACACACACACACGGGGCTGGAGGAGGGACAGGTCCTCAGGCCGGCAGCTTCCGTCTCCTGTGAGCCTTCCTGTGCCTTCCTGCTCCGGAGGGGAACAGAGAATCTGCAAACAAAGCAGGGAAGGCTGCCCCAGCTGGGGGCCCCAGGAGCAGCACTATCCGGAAAAGCTCGCGGAGGGCGGCCACCGCCACTCCCCGCTTCCCTCCCCACCCAGCCCTGAGCCTGAGTCCACACCCGAAGAATGAGCACCCCCAGGGCAGGGTGAGCACCCCCAGGGCAGGGCGAGCACCCCCAGAGTAGGGCGAGCACCCCCAGAGAAGTGTGAGCACCCCCAGAGCAGGGCGGGCACCCCCAGGGCAGGGCAAGCACCCCCAGGGCAGCGTGAGCACCCCCAGAGCAGGGTGAACACCCCCAGGGCAGCGTGAGCACCCCCAGGGCAGTGTGAACACCCCCAGGGCAGGGCGAGCCCCAGGGCGGGGTACTGGCCAGGATTCCATGTCCGAGCAGGGCGAACCCCAGGGCAGGTGAGCACCCTCAGGTCGGGCGAGCCCCAGGGTGGGGCACCGGCCAGGATTCCGTGTCCGACTCCCGCTGTGCTCCTGGTTCACTGCTGGACTGCAGGGCTGTCTCTGGCAGTGCCCCCCTCCCTCCTCCCGATTTGCAGGTAGGAAGCTGAAGTCCAGGGCGAGCCAGGGGACTCTGAGAGTCACAGGGCTGGTGGGGCCCGCCCAGAACGGTAACTCTTTCCCTCCCGGGGCGAGGAGCGCCCCTGTCCCACTCCGTTCACCTCCCCCACCCTCGTGCACACAGAGGCTTCCTCCTCAGGGAGCGTCCCCTGGGGGCAGGGACATCACTCGGGGGCGCAGGAAGTGGACAGGCCTGGAATAGGGGAAGGGTTCTCACTCCCCTCTGGAGGCCTCAAGGGCTTCGAGCAGCCACAACCAGAGAAGGTTATGGACCCAACTACCGTGAACCCCGGGGACACCTGGGAGAAACGTGGCCACAGCCTGGTGGGTGCTGGAGGAGTCCAGGCGGCCGTTGGGAACCAGGCTGGGAACTCAGTGCTCGGGGACCAGGGGAGGGGCGGCCCCATCCAGCTCCACCCAGCCTCGGTGATGGAGACAGAAGCTCACTCTGCCATGCCAGGCTCTGTGCCACAGCCTGGAAGAGCCCGGCCTCCCACTGTCCTGAGGGCACTTCCAAAAGTTAGGGGAAGCACGGGATTGAAAGACAAGCTTGTTTTGGTGCAAAAAAAAATGAAATCCACGTTTAATTTTCCAAAATCTTATTTTCCATGAACTTTTTGAAGACTTCTGCAATGCACGGATTTCTAAATGTATGAATTTCCATGTTTGCTCCGTTTGCCGTGGACTTCCTGAAATGCCCCCGTACAGGTGTTGCCAAGTGTGACCTTGCTCAGGGCCCCAAGCTGGAGAGAGAGACCTGGAGTGCACGTCCCAGGATTTCAAATCCATTTCACCACCGTGGACGGCCAGACAGGTCCAGACTGAATTTTGTAAGCCCTTGTTGTACACTGGAAATATTAAGGCGTGGCATCGGCCATTTTAAAATAAACGTTGAGTTTCAGGATTGCTTGGGATTTACAGGGGGAGCTGCAGCGACAGTAACTAGAGCCCCATCACGCACAGCGTTCACTAGCGTGACTGCTGACTAAAGCCCGGGCTCTGTTTGGGTTGCCTCTGTTTTAACCAAGCCCCTCCCACCCCACTATTGCAGGGCCTTCCCTGCGACACAGACGCCCTGTCCCCCAAGGCTCCCGGCCTGACAGCTCACCAGATCCCCCTTGTTTGGACGACTCAGAGTTGAGAGCCCCCAAGCGGGCACTCCACAGAGGGTCCCCGCCTGGGCGGGGCCTGTTGTTCACCTCACAGTCGGTCTGGGATGGATGGGAGGACGCGGAGGTGAGGGTTCTGCCAGCTGCATCTTATCCAGGGCCTGTGACACAGCACGGTTGACACTGGCCACATCCCACGCACACACACAGCATGGGGAGTCACCACCCACAGCTCACAGCACAGCAGCCCCTCCCACCTGGGCCTGGGCAAAATGGCTACTACACCGCTCGGAGCTCTGTTTATGGAAGGTCTGGAAGGAGCCATTGCTTCAACGTAGACTGAAATGACTCATCTCGCACCTGTCTTCTTTAAGCAGTAGGTGCTGATGGGGCCGGTGCTGTGGATCACCGGGTTAAGCCATGGCTGGCGGCAGCAGCATCTCCCATATGGCGCTGGTTCACACCCCCACTGCTCCACTTCCGATCCAGCTCCCTGCTCCTGTGCCTGGGAAAGCAGTGGAAGATGGCCTGAGTGCCTGAGCCCCTGCACCCAGTGGGAGACCCTGGCTTCAGCCTGGCCCAGCCCTGGCCGTGTGGCCACTTGGGAAGTGAATCGGCACATTGAAGATCTCTCTCTCTCTCTCTCTCTCTCTCGTCTCAGTAACTCTGCCTTTCAAATAAATAAATCTTAAAGAAAGACAGAAACCTGTGCTGGAGTGTATCAGGGGTTCCCTAAGTGTGTTCCACAAAGCTGCAGGGTCCCAGGGAAGAACCGTAAGGGATTTGCGACATGCAGTTGGCTACATGCGGCCCCCGCTGTCCCCACGCATCAGCCCCCGTGAAACGAGCCCCAGCTTGAGTCGGTGCATGAAGGAGCTGAGCCCAGCGTGGGGCGCAGGTTCCCAACAAGCAGAAAATGTCTCAGCCAATCACGGTGCCCGTGGAGACGTGACCGTGACCGCGGAGCTGTGGCCAGCGGGGCTGTCTCGGACGCTTGCTCCCACGCTCAGGCGTGCACGCTGTCTAGAGGCCTCAGACCACAGCTCTGAACCTGTTGGCCCGAGGGCCGCCTGATTCTAGAATCGTAAAGAAAAGCCACTCAAGCTCTTTAGGCAAAACTCGTCGCCGTTGTGTCTTCCGACAGAAGAAGGGAGGCAGCGTGCAGGCACCCGTCTCCAGCCTCGCACCAGCTTCCATTCTGAGCAGTCACAAAGAATAAAAGGACTTTGGGGAAAGAACTGTGCCCGTCAATCAAAGCTGGAACGTGTCTGGAGGAGACGGCACCCTGGGGTGTGGCCACGGCACCTCTATCGCTTCAGGCTCCCAGCTGCCAGTTAGGCGGTGCGATCCCAGCGGGAAAGGGGGAGGAGGAAGCGTTCGGCAGGGGACGCCTTGGCTCTGCCCTGACTTCCCCTGGAGAAAACGCTGGGTCAGAGAGAGGGCACCTCCAGGATGACCACGCAGCTCCGCCGCCGTGCCTCACGGGCAGGGGAGGAGCTGGCTCTCGGCCTCGGTCTGTGTCCCCTCACTTCCTTCTGAATCAGGCCATAGCACAGACCCAACGGTCTGACCGCACTGAGGACAAAGCCGCAGCCAGCTCCGCGCCCACCCAGCTGTGTGCTCCAGGTGCGCTGGTCACCCTCACCCCACCCAGCCTGGCGCGGTGTGACTGTGCCGGGCTGGATGGATGTCAGGAGAAGCGGGGAGGTGTTTTCCTGAGAAAGCAGACGGCAGGGCAGACGGAGGCACAGGGACGGCGGCCGGGGCCCCTTCCGTCCACGAAGAAAAGGCCCTTCCAGGCTGTGGCTTTTGAACAGCTTAACCATGACATCCAAAACCCACCAAACCCTTGCTTGCAGCCGGTGTGAAGCAGTTGTAACTCCAGGGCTGTTCATGGGCACGTGGACGTGAGCGGGAGCCGTGACCTCCAAGCCTCAGTCTCCCCGCGTCTAGAATGGTGCTAGTGAGGACCACCCCCCACAGCGTGGCAAGACGCAGTGACATGGCAAGCACGTGGCATCTCGCTACCGATGCTTTGGTTCCAGGTCATCGCTCACCAAACCTGCACCTCCTCCGGTCACTGGGCAGACAGCCGGCACCTACCTGCGGTGGGAGGTGACAGAGGAGCGCCTGGCACTGGCCTGCTTCCCCGAGAACAAGTGACGGGCGAGCAAGAACGGGGAGAAGGCGCCAGGGGCGGCCGCCTCCCCCGGCACTGACTGTGGCCATCCCAGGCCCTGTCCCCTGTGTCTCCATGGAGACGGCTCTTCTCCTGCCTTCTCACCGCGCAGGGTGCTGCTGGTGCCCACGACAGGCAGCTCCTTTACCCCGCCCCACCCGGCCCTGCGGCCTGGCTGCCGAGCACAGGACCAGCGTTCCCCGAGAACCCAGGCAGGTCCATCTCCCTGCGCTCGTGGAAGCCCTGGAGAGCGAGCTGTGAGCGCAGCAGTGGGAAGGAACTCGAGTCCATCAGAGCTGAGACAAAGCCGGAGCTACCCACCTCCCTTACCAAGCGCCGAGACCCTCAGGGTCCTCCTGCCTGCCTGTGTCCCTCCCCCTCCCTCCCTCCCTCCCTCCCTCCCTGTTGACATTTTTAGTCCACAACTGGAAACTCTCCCTCGTTGTCCTAGAACTGTCCCCGAGCCGGCTCCCAGCAGGTGCGTGGAGGCGGCCACCCCCTCCCTAAGGCTCTCAGAGACAAACAGCAGGAGCTGCAGCTGTGGGGATAGTCACAGCTGCAACCCCACACCAGAAGCCACCAGGGCCACCTGTGACCTCAGGCCGAGACCCCCCAGCCAGGCAGGGGCGGTGCTCCCCTCCCCTGACGCCCGCACGTGGAGGCCACGCCCCACCGGGCAGTAGGAAGCTGCTGAGAAGGCGTGGCCTCGGCCTCTCCCGTCAGTGGGCGTCACGGGGGCTTCTGAGCACGCCCAAGCCTGTGTGACTGCAAGGTCTCCGCGTGCAGGAGTGGCAGCAGAGGGTGGCCTCACCCCGCCTCTGCCTGCACACGTGGACCCGGCAAGGACTGTGCTGAGAAGTCGGAGCCCCGCGCACTAGCGGGCAGGGGCGGAGCCAGGATGTGCCGGCTGCTGCTGCCACCAGCCCAGCACTCCCCACCTGCGCTTGCAGGGGGCGGCCCTCTCTCTGTCAGTTACAGATTCTGGGCTCACACCTGCTCCGAGGGGTCCCAGAAGGGCTTGAATTAGGTGCATCTACCTGCCGGTCCACACCCAGGGCCCAGGTGCAGAGGGAAGGGCACCGGCCTTGCCTGAGACTGCGTGGCCGCCTGCCCCTTGCTACGAAGACACAGAGGGCTAAGCCTGCGGCAGTGCACACAGCTCTCCCCACAGCAAGGAGTCGCACCAGCCGGAGGGGACTGAGAACAGCCACAGGGAAGGACACGCTAGAAAGACGGATGTGCAGAGTAGGGAACTTATCTCATGAGGGTGGCACACTGCTGAGCAACCACGCACACAACGTAAGGGCAGGAGCTTGGCGCAGTGGTGAGGACACCAGGGGGACACCCATGTCCCAGGTCAGAGAGCCTGGGTTCCTGCTGATGCACGCTGGGAAAGCAGCGGGGGTGGCTCAAGTACTTGGGTCCCTGCCACACACATAGGATGCACAGAACAATTCTAGACTCCTGGCTTCAGCCTGGCCAAGCCCCAGCCGTTGCAGGCATTTGGTAGCAAACTGGCATATGGAAGATCTCTCTCTCTCTCTCTCTCTCTCTCTCTCTCTCTCTCTGCCTTGCAAATAAATAAATCAATATGTAGGCCGGTGCCGCGGCTCACTAGGCTAATCCTCTGCCTAGCGGCGCCGGCACACCAGGTTCTAGTCCCGGTCGGGGCACCGGATTCTGTCCTGGTTGCCCCTCTTCCAGGCCAGCTCTCTGCTGTGGCCAGGGAGTGCAGTGGAGGATGGCCCAGATGCTTGGACCCTGTACCCCATGGGAGACCAGGAGAAGCACCTGGCTCCTGGCTCCTGCCTTCAGATAGGCACGGTGCACCGGCTGCAGCGCGCCAGCCGCAGAGGCCATTGCAGGGTGAACCAACGGCAAAGGAAGACCTTTCTCTCTGTCTCTCTCTGTCTCACTGTCCACTCTGCCTGTAAAAAAAAAATCAATATGCAGTGGTATATTTCATATGATGGAAAGATAGTCACAAAATATTGTAAAGAGTGCCTGACAGACTACATAATGTCATTTTGTATCCGTCACAAATGCACACACGCACGTCCTACATATGTGTGTGCACACCCCTGTGACATGGCACCTGATTGCAGGGCTCAGCAGCAGCCCAGACCTCCCCTCCCCACCCCACACACATTTTCCATAAGAAATCCAAGCACACTGAGCATTCTCATGGAGGGACCGGCCAGGGGGCCCCGTGGCACGGCTAACGGTCAAGGGCCTGAGCCACCTCGTGTCACGCCTGCCCTCCCTGGCCCTCTGCCACCCCACCACCCAGGTCCTCCCGGTCCTCCTGCCTTGCACGGCCCCAGCACATCTCACCTGTGCCAGGGACACAGGGCGTGGCTCTGCCTCCGCCCTCCCACACGTGCTCACCCCACCCACCCTTGGGCACAGCGGGGAGAGCCTGTCTGTCCCCAGACTCAGCCCCTTTTGCATATACGCTGCTGTTTAGCTGCAGGGGGAGTGTGTGTGTGTGTGTGTGTGTGTGTGTGTGTGTGTGCGTGCACTGAACAGCGCTCAGAAAGAAGCCCCAGGGAGCTCTCTGGGTGCCTGACTGTCTTCTCTCTTTTCTCTTGCTCATAACTTCTGCAATGAACACATTCTGCCTTTAAGGAAAATGACTTTTCCCAGTAATCCTTTCTCCTCTTCATGTCTCTGAGTCACCGAGCTTAATAGAGTGTCCTGTTTTCTTTGGTTTACTCCACGCAGACCCCAGCGCTGTTGGCTCCCAACAACCAAGAACTTTTGGAAATTCCACTTCAGTCTTGGTCCCGCTGACATTTGGGCTAGAAAATTCCTTGTGGGGGGCGTGTCCTGTGCACGTAGGCCAGTGATGGCCTTCCCCAGCCTCATCCCATTATGACAATTGAGACAGTCCCCAGCCCTTGCCAGATGTCCCTGGGGGGAACAGGCACCTGTGGTTTTGACCTATTGCTCCAGGCCCAGCAAAGTATGGAAAATAGGTAGAGACCTATATAGATACAGAGATGGGTGGATGGATGGACGAATGAAGAGATAGACAGAGATGGGTGAATGGATGGATGGATGGTTGCATAGATAGATACAGAGATGGGTGGATGGACAGATGGATAGATAGAGACCTATATAGATACAGAGTTGCATGGAGGGATGGATGATTGGAGAGCTGGATGGATGGACGGACAGATGCATACATGGACACATAGATACAGAGATGGATGGATCAACAGAAAGGTAGATAGGTGAGGAAAGACGAGACAGAATAAAAGAAACAATGAATGAACAGAAGGAAAAGTTACAGAAGGTGGCAGACAGATCTCTGGTGTCAAACTGCCCACCTGCCAGAGGCTGAAGGAGAAAGAGCGCGCACCTGGCTTTGCGCAGTCCTATAGCTCCAGAGCCAGGCAGGGACGGTGTGGGGCAGATGCACTGCACATGCTCACGGCGTGAAGGGGTCCTGCTCCCCGCCGTGTCCTCGGGGAGCCCCTGGGAGAACAGCTCACCCTCCCCTCTGCAGACCAAAATGTGTAGGCTGCAATCCTCCGCCCAACTTGATGGTGTTAGGGCACGGGGCTGCCTCCCCATCCCGGCTCATGAGGGCCCAGCAAGACCACCTGGGGGCAGGACGTGGCCCCCGCAGGCGCTGAGTCCACCAGCACCTTGCTCATCGGCTTCTCGGCACCAGGAGACCGCGTGTCTGCTGTTACGGCAGCCCAAGCCCAGACACGCGTGAAGCTTCAATTTCCCGTAATTCATTCATTCATATTTGCTTATGATTTGAGAGGCAGAGGGACAGAGAGCACTCCCACTGGTTGCCAGCAACCGCCAAGGCCCAGCCAAGACGGAGCCGAGAGCTGGGAACGCCGCCCAAGTCTCCCAGGTGGGTGGCGGGGGCCCGTTACTGGAGCCGGCACTGCTGCCTCCCGGGGGTCTGCAGACGCAGGAAGCCTGAGTCAGGAGGAGCCAGCGCCGGGGCTGAACCCCAGGCAGGCCGGAAGCCGGCCATCCTGGGCGCTAGGCTAGACCACTCCCCGTCTGATTTTTAACCTGGAGATCACAGCAGCGCCTTCCTACGGGGAAGCTACGTTTGTCCGGGGCTTCCTGGCCTAGGCCGGTCCAGCCCGACATCAGCTAACCTCATGCCTTGCCGGCAGACTCGGAAACGCCTCCCGTGGCCCGTGACAGCCGGCAGGGAAAAGGCCCCAGGACTGACACAGAGCAGGGGTCTGGGGCAGAAATGTCTCGGAATGAGCCCTGGGCACAACCTGGAGGGCCTCAGGGACCTGGGACAAAGCCGAGGCTCCGGGGGCCTCCACGCCCTGCCCCCACCCCCTGCCACCCCATAGGAAGCTGCTTCTCTTCCCCCTTGGCGGGGGGCTCAGGGCCCACGCAGCCCGGCCAGAGCCCGCAAGAGAGGAGCAGGTGAGAGCGAGTCTTGAGGGCGGGCTCAGGTGTGTCACGGGACGGGGAGGCATCTGCCTGTTCCAGAAACTTCTTTAACTGCAGGTTGGAGAAGAAAAGAGACAAGGAAATGACTGGTCCGGGAGCCAGGACGTGAGGCTGCTCTGGGGACGTCGCCCAAGCACAGCAGGCACTCCTGGTTTGTGGCCCTCCTGCAGCCGCCCAGCCCTCTGCCTAAGCTAACACGTCCCCTGCAACACGAGACGACACAGCGACCTCCCCTTGTGCCCATCAAAGCAGGTCCTTGCATCGTTTTGATAAATTAAGGGGACTCTCTTAGAAGAGGTAGCTGTTGACAGAGGGGCGCCATGGGAGGACCCAGAAAGTGGCCCAGCCCAGGCCTCGGGTCTCCACCCTGGTCCCCAGTCCATGGCTGAGCCAGGAAGTGTTGACAACGTGCCGTTCAGGGAGGCCCAGGGAGCTCGACATCAAGGGTGGGAGCAGAGCCCACGGGCAAACCACCCGGCTTCCCCCGCAGGACACACACACAGCTGGGCGTGCTGGCCCCTGCAAACCTGCCGCTGTCAGACGTCACGGCTGTGGACGCCTCTCCTTGAAGCTGCGCTCGAGGCGTTACATCATTTTTCTGTCCAAACGTGCTTCCCCTGCAGTGACATCAGGAGGCCAGGGCATTACAAAGGATTAGGGACCAACGGGAGGAGACAGGAATAAAGGTTTCCATACGCCCATGACTCAACGTCTGCTGCTCATGCCCCAAACGCGGACCCGCGGGACTCACCCGTGGTATCAGCAGCAACACCATGTGGCGGCCACACGTGTGGGTTTCCAGCCTCGCCTCCTGCCACTCAGAAGGGAGCTGCCGACGGGGCTCACCATCCCAGACGGGCCTCTCCGGTCTGTGTTTGGACAGCCTTAGTGGTGTGGCCCGGGTTGCTAGCAGGTGCCACGGGTAGGGGGAGGGATTCTCAAGGCCAAAGACGTTTGAGAACAGGGTTAGGGAACAGGAAACAGCAGACTGCACTAAGAGCATACTTCCAGAAATCCTCTTTCGTCTCAGCTTCTCACCGTTCTGCCTGGCCACAAATACAGGGCGTCCCAGACGGCATCTCAGACGGTGAGCCCGGAGCCAGCCCTGCCGTTGTCATGCATTCCCACAGCGTGGAAACACGTTATTGGAGAACCTCAATGCACCAGGGCGGCACTGAGAGACCTCTGCGGCTGTTGGATTCTTACTGCACCCTGGAGGGAAGTGAGGCCCACAGGACAGAGCTGGCCAGCGGGCGACGAGACAGGCAGCGTGGGGCGGAGCCGAGACTGCCTGGTTCCCCCCCCCCAAATCCTCTTACTGTCACCCCGAAGGTGACACGGTGACCAGCGTCTTCCCACCAAAGCAAGGCTTCGATTTGTTTAGAAGACAACAGGTCTCCCTAGGAAGAGCAGGGTGAGGGAGACAAGCGATCGCGACGGAAATCAAAAGACGTCAGGGCCAGCGCTGTGGTGTAGCAGGTAAGGCCGCCACCTGCTGTGCCGGCATCCCATATGGGCGCCGGTTTGAGACCCGGATGCTCCACTTCCGACCCAGCTCTCTGCTATGGCCTGGGAAAGCAGTAGGAGATGACCCAAGTCCTTGGGCCCCTGCACCCTCGTGGGAAACTCAGAAGGAGCTCCTGGCTTCAGATCAGCGCAGCTCCAGCCATTGCGGTCATCTGGGATGTAAGACTCTTTATCTCTCTCTCTCTCTCTCTCTCTCTCTCTCTCTCTCTGCCTCTCCTTCTCTCTGTGTGTAACTCTGACTTTCAAATAAACTAATAAATCTTTAAAAAAAAAAAAAAGATTTCAGAAAAGAGACTAGCCTGGGTGATGCCCCCTCTTGACCCTGATCCCTAGTTAATAGCTAAGCCTGGGAAAAGTTGACAAAGGGCAGCCCAAGGGCTCAGCTCCCAGGACAGTGAATGTCTTCCCCAGGGCCATGCACACACCCAGCCATCTGCCCTCACGCTGGTGAAATTGATGTGCTAGCAGGTGTCCCGTCATTCAGGTGTCACGTTGTGAATGCCCGCCCTCTCCCCCGACCACACCACCTCCCACCCAGGCCCTGGTGGCTACTGGGGCCCCCACCCTGCGAGGACTCCCAGGCACCCATTGGTGCAGGCACCCGGTGCTCATCCTTTCTAGCCGGGATTCCCGCCATGCTCAGACAGAAACGTCAGCTGAGCCATTAGCTACCGGGGAAATGGGACACGAGCAGCCCAGCCGTGGGCCTTGATGTTTCCTGGGAGCCTGGCCAGGAAGGCAGGCCGGCGGCTGGGTGACTTCCGCTCACGGAGAAGAGGAGCGCTGCAGGCAGCCCTCCCAAGTGCTGCGTGAAGAAATGACTCCGGGGATTCCACACAGCGGACAGCAGGGGATTCGCTGGAGGAGCACCAGCAGACCGGGCTGTCGGCTTCTGCCCTGCATCCAGGGGACACAGTTAAAATGCGAGCGCAGGGCCGCCTGTGGCGTCGTGGGCTGAGCCTCCGCCTGTGGCGCCGGCATCCACGTGGGCACCAGTTGTGTCCCGGCTGCTCCTCTTCTGATCCAGCTCCCTGCTACGGCCTGGGAGAGCAGTAGAGGGCCCCTGCACCTGCTTGGGAGACCTGGAAGAAGCTCCTGGCTCCTGGCTTCCAATGGGCTCAGCTCTGGCCATTGCAGCCATTTGGGGAGTGACCCAGCAGATGGAGGACCTCTCTCTGTCTCTCCCCCTCTCTGTCTGTAACTCTACCTCTCAAATAAATACATAAATAAATAAAATCTTTAAAACGCAACACAGAAGGCCCAGTTCCCTGCAGACACAGTCACAGGTCCCTGCATCATCCGCTACTCCATGGCCTGGAGCCAACGCTTCTCTTCCTTCCCCACCTCCTCTTTTTTCAAAGCATTTCGTTTATATAAAAGGCAGAGAGACAGCGAGATCTTCCATCCGCTGGCTCACTTCCCAGAGGCCCGCAACGGCCAGGGCTGTGCCAGACCAAAGCTGGGGACCAGGGACTCAGTCCAGGCCTCCCACGTGGGCGGCAGGAACCCAATTCCTTGAGCCTCCACCTGCTGCCTCCCCAGGGGTGCTCGACCAGGGAGCCGGGACCAGGAGCGGAGACAGGACTTGAACCCAGGCAGGCTGAGGTGGGAGGCCGACATCGCAACCGGCGGCCTCAGCACTGCGCCACCGCCTGCCCCGACACACACCTACGCCAAGTGGGTTTCTCTATCCTGGCCCCCGGTGGAAGCCGCCTCCCGCACTCCCTCCTGCTGCCATCAAGTTCCCCCGTACCCAAGCCCAGTCCTGCTCCTCGCACTCTTGCTTGTGGTAACCAGGGTGCCCCCACCTCTCCTCCCTCTGACCTTGCAGCCGTTCAAGGAGAGGGTGGGGTGGGAAGGGAGAGGGGAACGTGGAGAAGGCGGGGAGGAGGGCGGAGGGGGATCAGGACTGACGGCTGGGCGATGCCGCCTGCTGCCTGCACACCCCGACCCCCACCCCATGGCGGGATCCACCGTGCCGGCCCCTTCCCTGCACTGCCGGGCGCCGAGCCTGCACCACGCTCCCTGTCTGGCAGCACCAAGGACTTGACGTTCCTCCAAACATTCCATGGCGGCAGAGCCGGCGTCCGCTCTGTGCTTCTCTCCTGATAACAGACCTCGGGATTCGTGCCGCGTGCCGTTGGTCTGCCAGAAAGGCGGTGCTGGGCGAGACGGCTGAGGAGTCGCTTTCAAGGGCGCCGGGTCAGCTGGGAGGGGAAGCCTCTTGCCCCTTGTCTTTCCCCTGAAATACAGACGTCATGGCTGGAGCTCCAACAGTGATGTTGTGACCTTGAGGCTAGACGTCCTATGTCAGGGCTGGTGAAGCGGGGGGAGAGGGGGTCCCCTCCATAGAAGCCGGGGATCACTTGCTGTTGGACTTCTTTGTGAAGAGGTAGCCCTCACTTAATTTAAGCCACTGATTGCTTTCCTCCTTGGGGCAGCTAAGCCTAAGTCCCTACAACAGTGACGGTGCTTCCCGCCCCCCAGCCCTTGCACGGCTGTTCCATCCCCCAGAACCCTGCCCGCCTCCTGCTGGTACACGTTAGCACCTCCCGAGTGCAGCCCTCCTCACTGAGCCTCCTCCCAGCCCTCCTCCCAGCCCTCCTCACTGAGCCACCTCCCAGCCATCCTCCCAGCCCTCCTCCCAGCCCTCCTCACCGAGCCTCCTCCCAGCCCTCCTCCCAGCCCTCCTCACCGAGCCTCCTCCCAGCCCTCCTCCCAGCCCTCCTCACCGAGCCTCCTCCCAGCCCTCCTCCCAGCCCTCCTCACTGAGCCTCCTCCCAGCCCTCCTCCCAGCCCTCCTCACCGAGCCTCCTCCCAGCCCTCCTCCCAGCCCTCCTCACTGAGCCTCCTCCCAGCCCTCCTCACCGAGCCTCCTCCCAGGCCGGGTAATGCACCTGCTGTGGTCTCACCCTGGTGAGCTGAGCCCCCTCCCAGACCTCCCGAGCTGGGGACCCCAGAAGAGGGCCTTCAGAGTGGAACAGGGCTCCTGGGTCTGAGCCCCAGGCCTCAGCAAGGGGGCTGCACCTCCGCTTGGTTACCCAGCAACCTCCAGTGTGCCAGCTACGCAACGCAACAGCACGCATGGGCAAAAATTCGAGGAGGAGGGGCTGAATGCAAACTTCTGGGCGCAGACCCCAGCATGGACAGTTTATGGTAAAAAGACGCCCGTCCTCCGCCGTCCCGGGCCCCAGTTCCCGGCGGGCAGGTGGCCCCAAAAGCAGAGCGGGAACTCTAGCCGGTGTCTGGCATGCCCTGTGGCATGACTTGCACAGAGGGCAAAAACTCAATGAAGACAGCACGAGGGAGCCAGGAAGAGACAGACCCAGCACGCTCACGCTTGTCTCAAACGTCCCCTGAACGTGAAAGCCGTTGCCGACCTGCGCTTGAATTGGTGTCACCCCCAAAACGCCTTCACCCTGGCGTGAGCAGCCGGGGCACCAACTCACTGTCAGACAGATGCCGAGAGGCTTGGCTCCGCCCCTCAGAGGACCTAACTGGCGAGGCAGAGCTGGGTGCCGGGGGTCCAGGGTGACCCTGGCTCTCCCCAGGCACCCCAGGGGGGCTGGTTGGAAAAGAATCTTAAATGGTGGCCGGCGCCGCGGCTCACTAGGCTAATCCTCCGCCTAGCGGCGCCGGCACACTGGGTTCTAGTCCCGGTTGGAGCGCCGGATTCTGTCCCGGTTGCCCCTCTTCCAGGCCAGCTCTCTGCTGTGGCCAGGGAGTGCAGTGGAGGATGGCCCAGGTGCTTGGGCCCTGCACCCCATGGGAGACCAGGAAAAGTACCTGGCTCCTGACTCCTGCCATCGGATCAGTGCGGTGCGCCGGCCGCAGCGCGCCGGCCGCGGTGGCCATTGGAGGGTGAACCAACGGCAAAGGAAGACTTTTCTCTCTCTGTCTCTCTCTCTCACTGTCCACTCTGCCTGTCAAAAAAAAAAAAAAAAGAATCTTAAATGGTTCCGTTTGGGGCCGGTGTTGGACACAGCAGGATAAGCCACCACCTGTGACACCGGCACCCCACATGACAGCAGGTGAGCTGCTGGCTCAGCTCGAGTACTTGGGTCCCTGCGACCCATGGGTGAGATCTGGGTGGAGTTCCAGGCTCCTGGCTTCAGCTGGCTGGTGTGGGCATTTGGGGAGAAAGCGGCAGATGGAAGATTTCTGTCTCTCTGCCTACAAATAAAGTGATGATAAATAATGAAACTTTAAAAATAAATAGGGGCTGGCACTGTGGCATAGCAGGTAAGCCGCTGCCAGAAACGCCGGCATCCCATGTGGTTGCTGGTTCAAGCCCCGGCTGCTCCACCTCCCATCCAGCTCTCTGCTGGGAAAGCAGGAGAAGATGGGCCAAGTGCTTGGGCCCCTGCACCCACACGGGAGACCCGGAAGAAGCTCCTGGCTCCTGGCTTCAGCCTGGCCCAACCCCAGCCGTTGCAGGCATTTGGAGAGTGAATCAACGGAGGGAGCATCGCTGTCTGTCTCTCTCTCTCTCTCTCTAACTCTGCTTTTCAAATAAATAAATAGTAAATGGTCACACCTTTCTAAGAAATGAAATAAACAGCAGCAGCTGTGAGCCAAGCCCGGGCGCAGCCCCGCCTGGCTCCCGGCTGAAGCTGTTCCCATGTGTCTCGGGACTCACGTGGCTGCCACTTTGCTCCCCCCCCCCCCCCAGAAAGCACCGTGGCCTCTGCAAACCTTTTGTTCCCAGGGCAGCTCACAGAGGAATCCAGGGAGCGCCTGGGAAGCCATCCGGACACCATCCCCTGCGGAGAAAGCAGCTGCCTTCCAGCTGGGCCCAGCTGTCCAGGGTGCGGGCCGAGGGGGCTGGGGCTCCCCAGCCCCTCCCCAGGACTCTGCTCCTTGCGACACGGCAGGCGGCTGGCATGGGGGAGCTCGGCCCTGCAGGCGCACACACAGTGGCACACGGTCCTCCCCTGCAGACCGCCTGAAGGCACTGGCGCCATCGCTTCTCCAATGTCTCCTTCCCCACAGAGGGGGTGCAGCAGGGCTGGGAGGGCTGGGAGGGCCAGGAGGGCTGGGGGCTGGGATTCTGCAGTCGCACCTTCCCCCCGAGGGATGCTGGGGGCTGGGATTCTGCAGCCGCACCTTCCCCCCCCCGGGGGGGGATGCTGGGGGCTGGGATTCTGCAGTCACACCTCCCCCACCCCGGGGATGCCAGGGTGGATGGTGCCTGGACCACACCTTGGTGGGCAGGGCTCGTGTCCGAATCCTGGCTCAGTACTGACTGCACAGCACGGGAAAGCGATGCGCCTCTCTGAACCTATCTCTGTCTGGGAGCTGGAGCAGCCATCAGTGCCCGGGGTGAGGGCGGGGAGTCTGCCAGGCTCCTGACTGCACCAGGGCAGGAGTTGAGTTGCATCCTAGTAGCGCTTTCTAAAGGCCCCTCTAAAGGAGGGGCCGGCGCTGTGGCGTAGCGGATAAAAGCCGCCACCTGCAGTGCCAGCATCCCATACAGATGCTAGTTCGAGTCCCAGCTGCTCCACTTCTGATCCATCTCTCTGCTATGGCCTGAGAAAGCAGTGAAAGATGGCCCAGGTGCTTGGGCCCCTGCACCCACATGGGAGACCTGGAAGAAGCTCCTCGCTCCTTGCTTCTGATAAGCCCAGCTCTGGCCATTTCAGCCATTTGGGGAGTGAACCAGCAGATGCAAGATCTCTTTCTCTTTCTCTCTTTCTTTCTCTCTCTCTCTCTCTCTCTCTCTCTCTCTCTCTGTCTCTGCCTCTCTATAACTTGGCCTTTCAAATAAATAAATCTTTCAAAAAACAAAATACGGCCGGCGCTGCGGCTCACTAGGCTAATCCTCCGCCTTGCGGCGCCGGCACACCGGGTTCTAGTCCCGGTCGGGGCGCCAGATTCTGTCCCGGTTGCCCCTCTTCCAGTCCAGCTCTCTGCTGTGGCCCGGGAGTGCAGTGGAGGATGGCCCAAGTGCTTGGGCCCTGCACCCCATGGGAGACCAGGAGAAGTACCTGGCTCCTGCCATCGGATCAGCGCGGTGTGCCGGCCTCAGCGCGCCGGCCGCGGTGGCCATTGGAGGGTCAACCAACGGCAAAGGAAGACCTTTCTCTCTGTCTCTCTCTCTCACTGTCCACTCGGCCTGTCAAAAAAAAAATAAATAAAAATAAAAAAATAAAAAAAATAAAAAACTAGAAAGCAAGAGGAAGGCCCTGTGAGGAGATGCAGGGAGGGTTTGGGGCGTGGCGACATCGTGTGTGGCAGCGTGGACTTCAGACCCCACACACCCAGGGGCTCTGAGTCTCAAACCACCCCTTGTCACTCATGAGCAATAAGATTTTCTGGGAAGGAGGTGGTAACTATAACCCATCAGGGCCCACCAGGAGCCCCCCGGGAAATGGCTGAACAAGCATGGGCATCGACGTTTGTCCCTAAGCCACGTGGAGGAGCTGACAGAAACCCCAGCTCCGACTGTGAGGCGTGTCTGGTTCAGGCACGGCGGGACCTGGGTGCCTGCGGGAGGTTGCCAGGAACGCACCTCCCCCGTCTCGGTTCTTTCCTCTCGGGCAGGCTCTGTGTGCAGCCACAGAAGTGACCAAAAGGCCGCAGGTGGGCCGGACCGGCTGAGCAAAGCTCCTCTCGCGGAACAATCCAGAAAGGTCTTGGAGCTCGTTCTTACTGGGGCGGGAGTGGGTGCTGCGCCTGTCACTGAGGGGCCTGCTCAGCCCTGTGTGCCCGGTCCACTCCAGGGGCGGGGAGGGGGCCCAACCCCCACCCAGACAGGGCCAACAGGAGGTTCCAAGGGCGGTCATAGCCAGGCGGCTTCCCCAACAGAGGCCTATTTCCTCGTGGTCCTGGAAGCCACAAGTTCAAAGCCCCGCTGCAGGGCCTGAAGGGCTTCGTCCCAGGCCTCTCTCCCGGCCCCGGGGGGGGGGGGGGGGGGCAGGCTAGACCTTGGTACGGCTGTGCCACTGCTTCCACCTGTGCCTGTGTCCCTCCCACCTCTGCCCCCACCGCCCCCTCTCTGTGGATCCCGCCGTGTCCTCGCACGGCTTTTGTATGACGGCATCAGCACCAGGCTGCGTCCAGTGTGACCGCGTCCTCACGAATGACGTCAGCTGGGACCCCGCGTTCCGAGCCTCGTCCTGCAGGGGAGGGCGCTATTCAACCCAGTAGAGGCGGAAAACTGGAAGAAGAACAGGGTACGGACATACACTAAAAACACAGTGTCTGTGCTTGGCAGGCGGACCCCCAAGCCAGCCCGTGTCCGTAACACCACATAGGCCTCCAGTGCTGCTGCTGCGCCCCTCTTGTCCCACCACCCAGAAAGGACGGCGCCTCGTCACCGGCACAGGGGCAACCCGCAGGGGCCCCGGTCCTGTGGCAACCAGGAATCTCTCTTTGATGGGAATGTTTCTCAGACACAGAGCTAAATCCGTCACTGGAATTCTCTTCAAGCAAACTCACCGCCCACCCCCGGTCCTGCCTTCACATATGTCGAAAACACTGAGCGTGTCCCCCTCCAGGGAACTCGGCTTCCGGCCTGCAGAGTGCAGCTGCGTCTAGAAACGCAAAGTTGCTCTACGGAGGCCAATGCAAGCCGCTCTGAACCCCCGGCTTGGGAGCCCCCTCCTCCAACGTGGCTGACCCCTCGCATCTTCTCCGAATGACAGCGGCCGAGAGCCCAGCCAGCGGCAGGTGCCGCGTCTTTTCCTCGCTGCAGGGGGAAGCCGACTTTTCCCTCCTTGGGCGAGAAGGATCTGGGAGAACAGGGCCAGCCTCCCACAGCAGTCATCGCTGAGTGGCAGGGGAAGGAGACTCCAGTCGAGCCTCGGTTCATTTTGAAATTGCGAATGCTCATCTAAAGGCACATTTAAGCGAGAATCCGGCACACCACGCCGTTGCGCTGGCAACCACCGACTTGCAACCTGCAACAGATTGCAAAATTCCTCGCCCGGTGACAAACGAAACCTACACAAGACACAAGCAGGGGAGACAGCTGGGAGCGAACAAATCACAGGCAGTTCTGAGGTCCCTTTGGTGTAGTGGGACTCCGGGGGCCCTGAGACCCCGCACGCGGGTCAGGAGTCCCAGTTCCAGGTCACCAGGTTGCCACCTCCCAGCTCTGTGACTCCAGGAAAGCCGCTTAACTTCTCTGGGCCCCATCTCCTGGGGGGACAGGCTGTCGAAGTCCAGCAGCATCATGGGGGATCTTGATGATTTAGGCGTAGGCGCCTTCCCAAGCCCAGGAAAATGCCACACAAACAGAAGGGCTTTTTGGTTGTGCGCCTTTTTGAACCTCAGCTGCTGAGGGTTCGATGGCTCGGCGTACACAGTCCTGCACGATGTTATTTCTGCCGTTTTCACTCCGGACCCAGCTCCACTTTCTGCAGCCTCCCGGCCCACAGGCGAGCATTTCATCCTGCCACCCGTGCAGCGTCTGCGTGTAGTCCCCGACGGTCGATGCATTCCTGAAGTGTGCTTTTAATCGCCACAGACGGCATGAAAGATTCGGTCGGCTCCCTGGAGTTCCCCGAAGCACTGTGTTCACAAGACCCACCTGTGTGCTGGGTGGCGATCGATCTGTTTCCTCTGGTTAGAAGACACGGTGAACCTCCAATGTCCTCCACGTGCCTGCCGCTGCCTTGCCAGCCCCCCGTCCCTGGTTGCTGGTGACTCCCAACCTCGACAGAGAACAGCCTCATCCAGGCACCTGGCTGTGTGCGGCTCTCAGCTACGTCCCTGCGCCACGAGGGTTTGACTTCTGATTTCCTGACGTTGCAATGGTGCGAGAGCGTTATCTATTCAACCCTTCTGCTGTCCACTCTCAGCAGAGCCCTCGCTACACGGCAGGACACAGCGAATTCTTTGTTACAAGAAGCAGGCTCTGAGTGAGACGATGTGGAGCAGACACAGGCTCCCTGGGAGTGGGCTGAGCACACGGCTGGCGGTGAGGCGCAGCCGTGACTGAGGGTAGGCTGGGCGTCTCCCTGCACGTTCTGAATCCGGTACTCACGCTGCACGATTTGTGGGGTTTATAGGGATGCAGCCCCACAGTGGAGAAGCGTCTCTGCTCACCTGACCTGTTGCCCAATCTGATCTGCCCCGTGCTTGGAGGCTCCTGTGTCTCCCACGTCCATCACACTTGGTGGGATCCGAATTTCCCAGAGCGGGAGGACAACCACAGGAGTTCTCACCTGGAGAGGAGCCCCGCACACACTGGGCGCACGGCGGGTGGTAGTCAGGAGGCGCCGACGCCAACGCACATCCTTTGCTCTGCCAGCTCTGGGACGAGAGCCTTGACCTCTGGGTCTCCTTCCCTCTGAGAGCTGTGATGACAACAACGCCTGCCCCACCCGTGGGGTACAATGTAGAAGGCCATGCCGTCCACTCGAAGCCCTAATGAGGCAGAGGGTGACGGGTTAGGAGACTCCTGAACGTGGACATCTGGCCCCGACAGACAGACACTGATGATCCCAGTTAGACGTGGGGTCTGCGACAGTCAGAGCCACAGAAGCAGAGAGGGCCTGGCACCTGCCAGTCACAGCTTCAGAGAGACCAGACGGACAAGTTCAAGAGGTTCGTTACTGCACGGCCTTGACGTTGAATGACAGCTGATAACGCGCTGTGTCCCTAAAGGCTGGCAGAGAGAGATTGGGGGCTGGGCGCCTGGTGCCCGGCTGGGACGGTGCTTGGGTCAGCCGTACCCCTACTGCAGAGCCTACTCAGAGTCCCAGACCTGCTTCTGGGGCTGACAGTGCGCGCCCGGGAGGCAGCAGTGACGGCCAAGCGCTTGAGTCCCAGTACTGGGCCCGGGCCCAGCTGCTGTAGACACCTAGGCCCTCTCCTCTCTCCCTCCCTCCTTTTCTCTCTGTCACTCTGCCTTTCAAATAAGTGAACAACTTGTGAAAAGAGAGGGTTGATTTTCCGTGTTCTCATCACAGGAAGCGTGAGAAGATGCCAGTGTCGTCAGCAGTCCCTCCCCAGGGTTCGGCCTCAGGCCTCAGCACCGGGCTGCAGGCTTCCTGCTCCCAGGCCCAGCCCCCCAATCCGGGGTCCGATCCAGCCCTGCAGAGCTCCCAGACTCAGCACCTGACCTAAGACAGCCCCTCCCGCCTGGACAGCGCCGGCCGCCTCCAAGCAGCCCTGCATCTGAGCCAGCCCCAGCCAGCTGCCTGGCCAGCACAGGGGCTGCTCTCCCCGCATCAGGCTCCTTCTGCAGCCCAGGGCTGGGTGGAGAAAGGCCTGGGTCGCTGGGCCCCAGCTGGTTCTTGGGCCTCGCCCCCAACTGCCCCCTCCCTGCCAGCCTGCTCTGACTCCATGGAACAGGCCCCTTGTCTGACCTTCGAAGACTCGCCCAGAACGCTCCGGTCCCCCTCCTCCACCTGGGATGGCCCATTCCTCTCAGATTTCCATGCCAATAGCACCCAGGCCATCTTCCCTGGCCACAGCCCCAGCCCCAGCCCCTACTTGCCGAGCCCTGGGGTGGAGTGGCACCTCCTCTCATCTCTGGACTGGTCCTAGCCTTAGCTTATCCTGTGGGTGACTGATCCTACCTAGGCCTCCACCCCGACACGGACCACCAGGGCCATCAGTGCATCTCTTCCAGTGGCCTCGTATCTTTAGTGCATGGCCGGGCCCATGTGAGGCAGCGACGGCCGAATGAGTCACCTGTGGCAGATCCAGCTGGTTGCAGACACCTCGCTGGTGGACCTGGCATTGGCCTGACGTTGTCTGAGGGGAGAGGAGAGAACGTAGCATCCCATAGGCCAGCAGGACCCCAAGAGCAGCAAGAGAGTGGGCCTCAGCGTACACAGTCTGTGGGCCTTCTCCTCCGTCACGTGGGCTGACACCACGAGGTCACGGCCCCTCCTCTGGTGGAAAGGAGCAGCAACTCCCAAACAGGTGACTCAGCAGGGGAGAGGAATCAGGGCCATCTTATGCAGTCTCCCACATGTACTCACAGGTGAGTGCACACACACATGCACACACATGTGCATAGATGCATGCATACACAGACATTCATGCACACACGGACATTCGTGCACACACAGAGACACACATGCACACATGCACATGCATGGACACAGACACACATGCACACACAGACATTCATGCACACATGGACATTCGTGCACACACAGAGACACACATGCACAGACACATGCATGCGCACACACACACAGTACCTTAGGGGTTTGATGGCAACTCTCAGCACAGCAGGCACTCAGGACTTGCACCATGAAGGACACGTTGCCCGGCCAGGCACCCAGAGATGGACAAGGCTGAGAGTCTATGGGGGAGCTCAGCTCCGCGGAGGCAGATTTGTTTGCCCTGGACTCTCCAGGAGCCACAAGCAAACAAAGCTTCCCTTTCTCCCTGCCACTGCTCCCCGTAACCGCGGCTGCTGCGGGAGCTCCGTCTCGCCCTTGGCCCTGAGCCACGGAAGCAGCCGTGGCCGTCGGCTGGGGAAAGCGGGCAGGAATGCCAATGATTAGGGTGCCTGCTGTCTGTCCCCGTCCTTGGCGAGCAGAACGGCGGGGTGGCTGCAGGCCCAGTTACAGCGGCGGAGACAGGGGCTGAAGGCCCGGGGAAGCCGGCACCCTCCTGGCAGGGCTCCGGTCCCCATGCACAGCCCTGCTCCCCCTCCCCCGCAGCAGGGATGGGAACGGAAGGCGTGGTGGCCACCAGGGACAGCAGAGCTGCAAACAGGACGAAAGTGACCGCGTGGAAAGGAACGAAGAACTTATGTGTCCAAGTAGTCTTGGAGGCCCCGCTCCGGCCCCAGACCCGGGGGCCCCTTGCCGAGGCCACAGTGGGCCGTGGGCTGGGTCATTGGCAGCGAGCTCAGGTCAAAGCCAAACCCTCTTCCCCAAAGCCGGCCTCCCCCGACCTCTGCACACGCACAGAATCCCAGCCCTGGGCACTCCCTCGCCCCGGCCCCTTGAGCTCAGCCTTCGTCCCCTCGACTCTGTCCCTACCTCCTCCCCCGACCAAGCCCTCCTCAGCCCTGTCCACTCAACTCAGCCGCCAGAGACCCTCGCAAAGCACCCGTGTTCCCACTGCCTCCCCCCCCCACAAGGTCCCCGCCTGCCTTTAGGACAAAGGCCTGGGCCCTTCCTGCCATGGTGCCCGCCCCCCCTGGCCACATCCCTGCCCCAGGCTAAGCACTCCAGGCATCAGGACTTTTCAGTGTCCCAGGCTGATTCTTAGTTTCCCGCAAATTTGGAAACCACCGTTGCCTCACTCCAGTGGTGGGCTGTGCCCTCCCCACCACCACCACACCCAGGGGGCTTCGCACATGGCTCCCCCCACCTGCCTCCCACCCCACTCCCCCTGCCACCTCCCCGTCCTGCAGCCCCCACCTCAGACGTCACCCTCTGTCTCATTCCTGGGAAACTTTCCCAGCACAAGTGAGGTCCAAACTCGGGGAGCCTGAAGCTCCGTGTCTGCCCCTCCATCGGGCACCAGGCTGTGCACAGGCAGGGGCGCCATGGCCCCAGAGCTGAGCGCAGCGTCTGTCCTCGGCGGGGCACACGTGTGCTTGTTGATGAACACAGGGGTGAGTGGTGCTATCGCCACCCTAAGGATGCGCACCCAAGGCTCAAACTCTTTGCTCCCACGGCTGGGCGTCAGCAGGTCCCAAACTGACGCTCTCACCCTCCCGCCACAGCTGATGCCCCAGCTCTGGGGAGGGAACTTCCTGCGGTGCTGGGCTGCAGGTGGGACCTCGTCTGAGCCCACCACCCAGCACCCCCCACCATGGGGCACTTGGGAGTGGCTGTTCCCTCTGCGCCGAGTCAGCACGGCCAGTTCAGCCGAGCCCTGCGGACACACACGTAACTTTGCAATGTTGTGGTGCGGCATTAAAACGGAGACCAAGTGACCGACGGCACCACGCTCACCCCACATCCGCTGAACGGAAGAACGAGTCCCAGGTCGCACTCCTCTCCTGCACACTTTCTTTCCGGAGAAAAGCAAGACTCAGCCGAGGGTCCCCAGGGCCAGGATGAGGGTGGCGCTCCCCTGGCTGGTGAGGGGGACAGGGGATCCTGCTGTCTCCAGGAATCACCTGGGCCATCCGACTTGGATGCATCGGACAAGAGACGTGACGGCTCCACTTGCAAACCTTTCAGAGTTCACCCCTCTGAATTCTCCTGGCTTGTTCATAAAATGGGATAGAAATCCCTAGAATAAGGGCCTCTTACCCAAAGTCACAGAATGGCAGGGTCATCAAAATAGAACGAGTCATGGGGCCAAGGAATGGGGTGGGGGTGAGGGGCGCAGTCGCAGGCAGCAGATCCCAGGAACGTGTCCAAGCTGGTCGCTCTGTCATTGAAGAATCTCAGTGAGTGGTTCCTAAGGCAAAAACTGGAAAGTATACTGACGGTGCACAGAGCCAGCGAGGCGGCCGTGGCCCGGCCCCACCCACCAGGTGGGCGTGCTTTCTGTGTGGGGCTATTTCTCCTTCCCCAAAGTGTTCCCACTTAACTTTGAGTTTGTGGAGCTGGGAGTTGGCAGCTGTGGCCCTAGCCTCTTCCTCCGTCAGTTTCACTAGAGCAGGGCCATTGTCTGAAGCCTGATGAAATCCCCCAGGGCCCCTGGCGGGGGAGGGGGCTGAGGCCAAGGGGGCGTCGAAGTCACCTCACCTCGGCGGGGGCTTGCCGGCTCAGGGTCCCCACAGGGGACAAGGCCCGGCGCACGGCCCCCAGGCCTCTGCACGAGGAGCCGTCCCGAGTGCCCGTGAACAGGAGCTGCTTCTGCCAGCTCCACACAAAGGCCACGGCTCTCAGACCGTCCGTCACAGCCAGGCAGTACGGGGTCACCACAGAGGCCCCAAGTTCCCGCACCCGCATCGTGGTGACCTTCTCAAATCCTACACAGCCCAAGGCCCAGAAGTGCCAGCAGGCATGGAGGGAAAAGAGCCCAAAAAACCTAAGAAACCGTCTGTTTGTGATCTGAGGACCAGGGGAGGCCCCTGTGGAACACACTGCGGGGGCGGGCTGGAGGTGTCAGTGAGGTCACAAAGAGGAGGGAGGGTTAGACACGGACCACGCATGGGGGTGTCAGGCCGTGCGCCTCTCACGGAACCACACGGATTGGGGGTGGGGGACTCAACCCACAGAGCAGGGAGTGAGGAGGGGCGCAGGTGCAGGTCACAGCCCAGGGGCCACAACAAACTTCAGGACAGGATACACATGCCTCGGGCTGAAACAGCACCAGGGATGTTTACACACTTGAACTTGAACTTGAACCACAGGGCACCAGAGGCAGATCAGGGCTTAAAGCCTGAACAAAGCATGGCAGGTGCCTTTTTTTTTTTTTTTTTTTTTTTTTTTTGACAGGCAGAGTGGACAGTGAGAGAGAGAGACAGAGAGAAAGGTCTTCCTTTGCCGTTGGTTCACCCTCCAATGGCCGTTGCGGCCGGCGCACCGTGCCTATCCGAAGGCAGGAGCCAGGTGCTTCTCCTGGTCTCCCATGGGGTGCAGGGCCCAAGCACCTGGGCCATCCTCCACTGCACTCCCTGGCCACAGCAGAGGGCTGGCCTGGAAGAGGGGCAACCGGGACAGAATCCAGCGCCCTGACTGGGACTAGAACCCGGTGTGCCGGCGCCTACTGAGCCGCGGCGCCGGCCTGAGCAGGTGCCTTTCCAAAGAAAAATGCCAACATTCAGCTGGGGATTTCGATGGAAACCAGTCTCCACCGTGATGTCTAAACCACGCAGGATCCAGTCCAAAACACACAGCACACAAGGAATCAGGGTGGGATCATCCCAAATGCCAGCGTGGAGATGACGCAGGTCGGAATCACCGAAGATTTCTAAACAGCCATTGTAACCATGCTCTACCAAGTAAAGGAGAACCTTCCTGAAATAAATGGAAAAATAGAAACTCTGAGACGAGGAATAGAAACTGTGCAAAATGACCAAAAGAGAAGCTTGACCTGTAACACAGAGGAACTGACATAGAAGATTCGCTGTTGGGAGTAGCAGAAGGAGCTGGAAGACGACGCGGTCGGTTTGGAGGCACACCAGTGAAAGTTATACGACTACAGACAAAGCTTTTAGGAAATGAGCAGCCTAGGGGCCAGGGTATGGCGCAGTGGGTGAAGGTACCGTGGGTATCGCCAACATCCCATATGAGCTCTGGTTGGAGTCCTGGCTGCTCCGCTTCTGATCCACCTCCCTGCTAACGCACCTGGGAAGGCAGCAAATGATGACCTAAGTACAGCCCCAGCTGTTGATGAGGAGTGAACCAGCAAAGGGGAGATCTCTGCTGCCTCTCTCTCTGAAATTCTGCCTTTCAAATAAATAAATAAATCTGAAAAGTAAAGGAAGAAAATGAACAGTCTCAGGACCCGTGGGACACTCCGTCACTCATTTATTATTAGATTCACAGAAAAGAGCATAAATGAATTGGTGAAAAAGGAGAAGATTTGAAGAGATCATAGCCTTAGACTACCTGGGAAAACCATGAATTTGTAACTCACCGAGCATCCTGACAGTAAACTCAAGGAGAGCTGTGCCCAGGCACATCAATGGCTGTAAACCAAAGAACAGGAGCCACGTGTACACGTGATGGCAAGAGGACGTAAGTGACTAAGAACGACTCGGCCAAAACCATGGGGGGCAGAAGGCAGTGGGGCACCATTTACAGCCGCCGGGGGTGAACGGAGGGGGCCGCCAACTGCAGGTGAATGTCAGGTAAAGACACCCTCCAGAGCTAATTCAAAGTCAAGATGCTCTTGGTTGAAGAAAAATGGAGGTCGCTTCTTATCAGCAGGCCTGCCCAAAAGGGAAGAGATTGTTCTCTTAATTGTACAACAGCACTTCAAAGAATTCTTGGGAAATTCATTTTTTGAGAAAACTATGCGTGGATTTCAAAAATCTTGCAACTGGGTTCCCGCATTGTGGCACAGTGGGTTGAGCCATGATGTATTATGCAGGCGTCACCTACCAGGGCACAGCTTGAGTCCTGGCGGCTCCGCTTCCAATCCAGCTCCCTGCTAATGCATCTGGAAAGGCAGTGGAATATGGCCCCAGCACTTAGGTCCCTGCTACCCACGTGGGAGACCCGGATGGAGTTCCTGGTTCCTGGCTACAGCCTGGCTGTCATGGCCATTTGGTGAGTGAGCAAACAGATGAAATGGGGCAGAAACAGCTAAAACATTACTTAAAAAGAAAAGGCATTCATACTACATATAAACTTACTATTAGTCCACCACAATTAAGAGGTTTGCTAGAGACCGGCGCCGCAGCTCACTTGGCTAATCCTCCGCCTGTGGCGCCGGCACCCCGGGTTCTAGTCCCGATTGGGGTGCCAGATTCTGTCCCGGTTGCTCCCCTTCCAGTCCAGCTCTCTGCTGTGGCCCGGGAGTGCAGTGGAGGATGGCCCAAGTGCTTGGGCCCTGCACCCACATGGGAGACCAGGAGAAGCACCTGGCTCCTGGCTTCGGATCGGCACAGCGCGCCGGCTTTAGCGGCCATTTAGGGGGTGAACCAACGGAAGGAAGACCTTTCTCTCTGTCTCTCTCTCACTGTCTAACTCTGCCTGTCAAAAAAAAAAGGAGGTATGCTGGAAAAATTGCTAAAACATAAATTTGTAGAACAAGGAGTCCAGATATAGAAAGAAATAAATATGATCAACTGATTTTTTTTTTAAGATTTATTTTATTTACTTGAAAGACAGAGTTACAGAGAGAGATCCTTCATCTGCTGGCTCACTCCCCAGATGGCCGTAACAGCCAGGCTGGGCCAGACCAGAGCCAGGAGCTGCTTCTGGGTCTCCCTGGTGGCCTCAGGGGCCCAAGCACTTGGACCGTCTTCCGTTGCTTTTGCAGGCCATTAGCAGGGAGCTGGATCACAAGCAAAAGAGCCAGGACTTGAACCTACTCCCACGTGGGCTGCCAGCCTTGCAGGTGGCAGCTTGGCTCGCTACCCACAGCACCGGCCCACAGCTAATTGTAGAGAAGAGAAAGGATGGTCTCTTCAACAAATGACTGAAAAATTTAGACATGCAAATGCAAAATAAAGAGCTTATGTCCACATCATGTATAAAAATTAACTCAAAATAGATCACAGAGTTAACATACAACGTAAAATTATAAAACTGCTAAAAAATGGGAGAATACCTTGGTAACTTTCAATAAGGCAAAGTTTTCACAGATTTGACGTCAAGCACTTGATTTATGAAAGAGTTGATGAATTGGACTTCATCAGAGACACTCTTAAAAGAATGGAAAGACAAGCTACACACTGGGGTGGAACAGCTGAAAAGCTGAAAAAGGACCTCTACCCAAAATATAGAAAGTCCACTCAAAATCCAACAGCAAGAAAACAGGCACCTGGACACGTGCCCAACGTCGCTATTCACTGGGGCAGTGCGGACTGTAGCCGCAGCGACGCGCCACAGCCCCGCTGCCAGCCCGGCTGACATTTCAAAAGCATGCGGTACCCCTCCTGTGTCCGTCAGTACGAACCAGAGCATGTTGGAATGGTAACCGATCTTAAACAGACTTCAGGGCAAGCATTTAGCCGACGGGGTAAGGCGCAGGCTGAGACGCACAGCCACACTCGGGTACCTGGATTCCGTTCCTGGCTCCGGCTCCTCACTCCAGCGGCCTCGTCACACACCCTGGGAGGCAGCAGGGGTGGCTCAAGTAAGTGAGCTCCTGCCACCACGCGGAAGGCCCAGGTGGACTTCCCAGCTCCCGCCATTGTGGCCACGTGGAAAGTGAATCAGTGGAAGGCAGCACTCTTTCCAATTTTTTAAAAAAATGTATTTATTTGAAAGACGAGTAGCAGAGAGAGAAGGAGAGACAGAGATCGTTCATCTGGTTCACTCCCCAAATGGCTGCAACGGCCAAGCTGGGCCAGGCTGAAGCCAAGAGCCAGGAGCTCCATCCGGGTCTCCCAGGTGGCTGGCAGGGGCCCACGCACTTGGGCCATCGTCACTTGCTTCCCTGGCACATTAGCAGGGAGCTGGGTTGGAAACGGAGCAGCCGGGACTCACACCAGCGCCCTAACACGGCGTTTTTCCTTTTAAAACAGCCAAGGAAGCAAGCAAACTGCCTGTGAGCCTTCTTGTGTGTTTAGATTGAGATGTTTGGGAGAGCAAATGAGGACATTTGTGACTCAGCCCCTCTGGCCACCTGCTGCCCAGTGCACAGGTGCTGGCGTGAACGATGGTGGTGAATTTCTGATACCCTTACACGCACACACCCCTTAACGTGTACCTACTGGTTAATCACAGTTGAAACTCAGCAAGGGTTAGTGGATTAAAGCAGCAATAAATTCTTTTTTGAGAGAGAGAGAGAATTTCATCCACTGATTCACTCCCCAAAGGAACGTAACAGCCAGGGCTGGGCCAGACCAAAGCCAGGAGCCAGGAGTATCATCCAGACCTCCCACGTGGGTGCAGGGACCCAAGCACTTGGGCCATCCATCTTTGACTGCTGTCCCAGGAGCACTAGCGAGGAACTGGATCGGAACTGGAGCAGCTGGGACCTGAACCAGCACCCAAATTGGATGCCCACATCACAGGAGCCGCACCACAGCACCAGCCCCAACAGCAAGTTTTTCTCTGACACTGTTTTGTGGGTCGGGATTCCAGCCACACATTAGCTCAGTCATCTAGTTTAAGGTCACAGTCTGCAGTCAAGGCGTGAGCTGGCCAGGGCAACAGTCATGTGACCGCTCCGCGGTGGGGTGGCGGAGGCTTCACATCTCTGCTCACTCCACAGCTGTTGGCGGAAGTCAGCTGCTTGTGGGGCGTGGGACGTGGTCAGCTCAGCTCCCGCCAGCTGCTGGCCAAGCCCTCCTCCCAACACAGCAGCTTATCAGCATGAGCAAGTGAGAAAAGAGGAAGAAAGAGCAAAATGAAGCCACTCCTGATAACCTCATCGTCGACCGCTGCATTGGAAGCCAGGCGCCAAGCCCAGCCCAGACTCAGTGAGGAGACCGCCTTGGAAGATGCCCTCATACCCAAGGAGCTTACA